CTGAAAGAACACACCCTAAATCTAAGGCAGCAAGGCCCCTTCTTTTGAGCAGTATAAAAATGTTTGGCTTCTGACAATCCACAGTGTGAGCACTGAGTTACCTTAGAATCTAATTTGGCTAATCAAGCCATTTGTTTCTCACAACAATCATTTTAGTTTTCCTCTCATGCTTCAAAAAATTCTGACAAATACCTGTGTGTTTATTTCTGGCAACCAAAGGACATTCATACTGCAGGGACCTAAGAAAAGGTGGTTCAGATAGTTTGTTCATTGTTCTTCACAGCATTGAACACAGGAAAATTGGAAGGATAGAATATGTGCCAGTGTGTGTGATGGTTTAAGATATGATTAATCAAACAAGAGACAATATGAAATTCTAAATGGTTGAAAGCCTGAAATATTCACACACACCTTTTTAAAAGGCTTCAAGTTTTGGTGAAACCAAGCTTTCTTTATATAGATTTTCTTTCATACTTCTGCAACTCTTGTTTCACACAAAAGAAAAATCTGTCTGTACTGCTCACATCTATTGTTTTATTGTAATATCACTTCTATTGCATCTCGGCTTTTATTTTTCTCCTTGTTATTCCCTCTTAGGCTTGGCAAAATCTTTCCATTATGATGTGAAGCAGCTCCAGTCCTTGCTTTCCCTCCTAACGCTCACTCTCATTTACCTTAGTTGCAGTGACCAAAGCACCAGGACCTGGCAGCTGTAGGGAGCTACAGACCTTCCTTTTTCAGTTCCCAGTCCTTCAGCACCTCATGGTGCCTGCACACACCACTGCTACACCTGACCTTGTGAGATCTGATCCCCGATAGTGACTTTAATTAGTGTTATCCTGCTTTCAGTTATGATTGCAAATAATAAAAATAAGGAAGCTTTCCTCTTATCTACTTCTTTCACATTGGCCATCAGAGTCCAGAGGGGTAACTTTGCCTGAATAAACTGAAACAATGTTTTGGCCTTCTAATTGATTAGTGACTTACACCATTTTCCAAATACTGGTATACTGACAACTAAACACTCAGCCTTTAATAAGATGTACGTTTATCAGATTAAATAGCAAAATATCACTTTGCCTACTAAAGTTATCCTATCTGCTTGTAACAAGCATTTTGTCTGTTTATTTGACCATGTATTCCTTGGCATTTCTTTTTCACTGAACATGTAAAAGCAATGGTTTATTTTAATTTTAATACTGACAATCATTTTAATGCATTCATTCTGAAAACATCATGACTAAATTGTCACAAACTTTTAAGTATACTTAATGTGAGGGAACCTACTGGGAGCTAGGCTTCAGCCTGACTGATGCATGTGTGATTGCACTGGGTTGTATTTTGCAACTGTTTTTTTTTCTGTAGGAAGACCTCTGGACTTGAGCAATCTTTCATTTTATCTTCTGTAGAGAAATTAAAGCCTGCACACCAGGACAAGTTTTCTGCTTGCAGATAGCAAGATGGAATTGGCATACAGAAATAATCTTTCTGATTTGAAAAACTGGTCTGCATTTTTACCATGACACCTGACATTTACTTCAAATGCACAGCAGTCTGTCTCTTGGGTTTGAGAAATCTAATTGATTTTTTGAGAGGTAATGTAGGACAGCTAATATACTCTTTAGTTCTATAAGGGATATGATTATTCCCGTGCTTGTTCACTTACCCTTTGTCTCACAGAATCATTTATCTCTCTTCCCTGTTCCAGGAGGAATATTATTTTCATGCTAATAACCAAAATAAATCCTGAAAACTGCATCTCTGTACCACCTGCTATACACAGCACAGACAACTCCATACTAGAAAGGTTTACTTTGCATCTTGCTTTTAAAAAACTACTGGTTCCATACTGAAACCACTGTTCTAAAACCTATTACTTACAGCATTCAATAGCTCTGTTTACCATGAATGCTCCAGCTTTACAGTTTGTAAACAAAGCTGGATGAGATGGAACTGGTGAGAGGCAACAGGAGACAGGAAGTATCCAAATGCTCAGAGAATACCTAAAAACAGCTGTGCCTCTAAGCCGTGTTTTGAAATATCAATACCCAGGCCGCCAGTAGCAAGCATCTGAAATTACACAGGACACTTCTGAAACAAAAAGCATTCTGTAATATCTGTCCTATCCAGAATAATAATTCTTATCCTTAGTCATGGGTCAAATGCTATTTATTTATGTGTAAATATTTTTATATATACTTCAGATGCTCAGACACTGGTAAGTCAGAAAGACTTGATCAAGTAAGTTGAAATCCCAGTTTCTAAGAGTTGGCTGTAGCATACAAAATTAAACTTAGTGGGGATGCCAAAAGCAGAGAGAATAGCTGTCAGACATCACTAACATGAAAGCTTTGCATGCTAGTATGGCAGGATTCCAAAAAAAAAACCCAAAAAACAAGGTCTGTTTTCAACCAATATTTTTCCTATTTTGGATAGTCACAGCTAAGATTATTCATTAAAATAACTTCAAAAACCTCAAAACAACATTTTCAAATTCAAACACTAGTGTTTTCTTGGTTTTTGAACCATGCAAATAAAACACGAGGGTAGATGCTAATGATGACCTCAAACACCTCTGAAGTTCATGCCTTTCTACACAGAATAAATCTGTACACCTCATGTACAGTTATTACACTGTGAAGAACAGATGGCTTGAATATAAAGCAAAAATAATCTTTAAAGATGTCTTTATTTTTCTCACCTGGCCATTAATTTTGTTGCTGGACATAAAGTCCACAAAAGCCCTCTCTTATAAAAAAAAATAATTGTTTTACGTGTTCATCCATCATCTTGTTGAAAAAAAAGGGTATTCAAGTTCTTTAAAAATCTATTCTAGCCATCTCTATTATCACATATTCAACAGGGTGGAAAGGCCTAAATGCCAGCAAATGCAATTCCCTCTGTATTTCTTTAACCCTCCCAAATTTAATTTTTCATTCATATGACCCAATAATTATATCACTTCAGTGATTCCACAGTCTGTCAGAGAGAGCAAGCATGCAGGGTACAAATGTCAGCGTGTGCCAGGGATGCCTTGCAGGTAAAGCAGCTGTTTAAAAAGTGCATCTCAAAAGCAATATAGTGATTCTCCTAAATACAGGATTCTACTGAGAGGAACATGGTTCCTAAAAGAGAAAAATAACTTTGTTTTGACCTCAAATTCTATTAGCTGTAAACACACTTAACAGCATGGACTCCACAAAAACATTAGAGTACATTAAGCTTTAACATAATGAAATATTCAGGGCTGAGCTGATTACTCATTTCTGCTCAGCAGTGGAATAGGCTAACAGTGCCACTTTCCTATGTGAAATGAAATATGATGCAGTGTAAGTTGATTAGTAATAATTACAAGCTGATGTTCTTCTACCTCCTGAACAACAGGAGACTTGTGGTATCAGTTGCAGATTTTCTGCACTCTAATGATTCACACACAATATATGCAAGTTGTCTGTGCAGCCAGTACAGATTCTGCAATTTATCTGAAATTTCATTTAGACAGATTGATTTCCAAGTTTAAGTAGAGTTTACAGGAGCAACAGGATGATTCCTGAATTGGTTCAGTAGACCAAACCAGAGACATCGTAATAGGATTTCCTTCCTTAAATCTCAATCAAGCAAATGACTTTTTTCTTCCCCTCCCCCTCCTTTTTCACCACCAAAATTTTTCTTGAAGCTCAGTTTTATTTCAAACATCAATTTATTCATGAGATGATTTGAAGAAGAGTCAGGGGAATTTATTATGACTCTCTCTTTGGATTAGAGAGATAAAGAAAATAAATCTAAAAGGAGGGTGTTTAAGCACTGCTTGTTCAGGACTTGAGCAATCTCCACAGTTTTGATACTCACAGCTTCACTGGACAAGGCCCTGAGCAACCTGATCCACCTTAAAATTGGTCCTGTTTTGAGCATGATGGCTAGATGATGGTGAGGGATTCCTTTACAGAACTATCTTCCAGATGATAGCACTTGAGCCACATACACTTTTCCTGCCTAATTCCATTATTCAATCTAATTTTCAAAGAATAATGACTATAGCTGTTTTACATATTTTAAATAATCATCGATTTTAAAATCATAGATCTAAAATGAAAAAATGAAAATTTGAGACTTTTGAGAAAACCATTTCAGGCTTCACTTAGGACAGGATTATTTTACGCATTGAGAACTTTATTTTCTGACAGCACCACAGTACAATTGTAATGGAAACTGAAAGACAGTAAGATGACATCTTTCCTCCATGTGAACTTTATAGTCTCACTTTTATCACAAGAAAGAAAAGGTTTGACATATGAACTGAGAGCAGCCAATGAGAAGTTATTACCCATGCCTACAAAGTTCAACATTTCTATGGGAGGGGATAAAAAAAATTGACCTTTTTTAGACTATGTCAGTCAATGCAAACAACATCTGTGTTCCTGTGTTAAATATCAGCCCTTCTAGTACTGTAAAGACACAAGAATATTATCTGTAGTTGTGAATTACTGACAGTTTACCCCACTGTCTTTATTAAAATTGAGGCAGCTGTGCACCCAGAGCTGTGTTCTACAGTTAACACACTCATGTGCACAGATATTCACCAGCACAGGATAAATATTTTCTATCCATACTTCTTCACCTTAGTTTTGGCATCCTTTAGTCTTTGACATAAAGAACACATGCATACATTAAGAAAATAGATAAGACTTCACTGGGCTTTTCCATGGTAAGTGGAAAGATTTTACAGCTAACACAAGAATATTAACACTAGTCAAGTGAGATGAATTGAAGAAATGGTATCCAATAGATCTCCATGACAGATATTCTCACCTCAATGAAAACCAAACCTTTCAGTGTAAGTACCAAGAAAGGATCGGCACTAATTTGAAACTTCATTGCTTCATCTCACAGACCTAAACACGGCGGTGTGCAAACCCACATCTAATGAACAGCTCTGTGCATGTGGGTAGTTCAGTGGTATCTGAAACCTCTACAGCAACTTCAACAGAGAATCATCTTACCCTTCCACAGAAATGGTCCGCTGCAAGCTCACTGTGGGTGGACGCGTTGCAGTGCTGTGCTGGGAATGACTGTACGGCCAAGGAAGAATAAAGAAAAGCATTTGTTAAAGAAATAGAAGTTTCTCTTGCTCTTATTGTCTCTAGCAGTTTAGCTAATGCCAAAATAGATAGAACAATCACATTGTTTTACTCCTGTCTAAAGCATTTTGACTTCAGTGGTGCTCATCTGTTCAAAAAGGGCTTAATTGTACAAACTCTCTTGTTTAAATTCAGCTTTCATTCCTCATTAAGAGCAGAAAATTAAGACAGTAACCCCCCCTTATCTTTCCTACATAATTTTTCCTACATATTTTCCTATATATATACATATATATTCACACAGAGTTTAGTAATTTAAAATAAATGCTAATTATTCCACTAAATATACTAAACACACAATGCAAATTTAATTTCAGAGTGAAAGGTAAAGCATATGATAATGTAATCAATCTAATTCTCAGTGTTCCTCAGTATAAGAGGACATGCTTTCATTAGAATTGCACCTTGATGCAACTTCAACACTAGTTCTCTCATATTTTGAGCAGCTTGAGTCTTTCCGTAAGGATTTTTATTAATCTAGGACACAACATTTAGGATAAAAACATGGTATTTTTTCTATAGAAAAACACAGACTCTCTGAAAAAAAAAACCTTTTTGATTGATTTTGATTTTTGAGGTCCAATGGCTTCTCATATATTATACTGATTTGACTAAGACACTGGATAATAATAATTTTGTTAAAACTACACAGAATGTGCTTATTTCAGTATTATACTATTTGTAATAGTATTGTAAATACAAATGGATAAAACAAAGCATCAGTCAAAGGCAGTTTTGTGATAATAAATTGTACTCCTCATTCAAGACAACCTGTTCAAATAAAATATTAAAAAGCAGAAGCATCAGGGTGTATTTTCTGATCAGTTTAAATGACTACAGCACATAGTGAGGCCCAGTATTAATAATGCAAAGTACACAATAAAAATAAATCTTTATGTCACTTTTATATCACTGATTCTAATAGCAGAAGACTTCGTCTTGCTTTCAAGCTTTGCATAGATCTCAAGCTGCTTGTTCAGAAGCATCACATCTTATTTTCAATAAAAGCTACTTCATTTGACATTAGTGAGCAACATATCTATTTTACATGAATTTCATCCTGTAGCATAGTCAATACTGTCTGACAGAAAAGATGCCTTTTTAATTTTATTTTTTTTTTATTTTGTTTAGTCCATAGAGTTGTGATGCATGTCATTGGACAAACAGAAATCCTGCTGCCTCCTGGTATCTTCTACTGTGACAACTGTGCTCTTGTTTTACGTGAGTGAAGTATTCATCCTTATTGAGAAGGTTTCAGAAGGTTTTTGGAAAAGTATATTCCCCTTCTTCTAAGAAGAGCTGCAAAGCTTTTTATCTGTTTTATAGTAGAACTTATTTAGGAATATCATAAACTTCTGGGATCATGGTGTGAACAGAATAGCTGAGTTGGACAAACACTGCAGAATATTAAATGAATACTGGTTAAAATTTCACAAGAAGTTTCCATGTACAAGGGACTTTACACCCCACTCCTGCCAAGTGAGGTGCTCATCTGTCTGCCATTTTCCATCCACTAGAAAACTTTTTCCAATCCTAGAGATTTGTGACACAGTATTCAAATGAGCCCTCACCTTCTTTCATGAAAATAGTTCAGAACTGGTGGCATGAAAACTCATTTTCTTTTACATAATTATAAAAATCAAGTTTGATGCTTGATATAAGCTTGTGCCTTCTAAGGTATCATCATGAATATAATGACACCTTAAAGTCTAAAATGCAGTTTAATCATTGCTTGACACAAGTTGCTATTGGAGACAGAATAATAGTGTGATATGATACCTAACTGACTTATTGAAAAGATAATCTCCTAGTGATTTCTATCAAACTGATAGAACCAGCAGAAAGAAGCTGTTTTCATCACATGCTTAATACACTTGGGCATTTTCTACGTCTTTTGCAGCACAGAAGAAATAAAGCCTTGAGTTACTGCTACCAACACTTTCTGTGATGAATACCTAAACATATCCCTATTGAGATACCCAAGCAGCATAGTTTTAAACTGACAAATCAAAGTATTCAAAGTTTGACATTTAAGCTTATAAAAATCCTGCCATTTCTCTGAAATGATACAGAATGAACCTCCTATTAGTTTTAATAATATGAAGCAACAATATTTCCATATACTAGCCAGTACAACAGCCACACAAGATGGATTTTCCCTGAAGAAAAGAATCATATATCCTGTAAAAGACCAGTTTTAACTTTAATCCATTTCATTTTAGTTCACTGAGATAAGGGGAATACACTGTTCTTGTAAGACAATTCATAAGAGTGAAGGAACAAAGAATAAGATTGTAAATTAATAATAAAGTGTAAAACTGGGAGCAAAGAAGCCAACCTCTATTTTTAATGGGTCTAAGCTGCTTTTTGCTTTAAACTTGTTTCTCAGGCAAGGCAAACCATTTCATGGCTTCATTAAATACTAAAAATAGAGCAGCCCGGTGTTCAAGTACTTTTTAAAATGTTACTATGAAAACAATCACATCAGTAAGCATTATAAAAACAAAAAGTGAGTCTCCTTAGATTCAATTCTGTTCTAGGCCAGGAAAGCTCTGAAGGAACTTTTGCTGTGTGGGTGATGCTGAAACTGGAGGCAGCATCATAAACCCTTCCTTCCCCACAGGGATCAGATGAATCACCACCATCCCTTTCCAAACGACACTTTCACCAATATGCCAGTGAAACCTCTATCTAGGATGAAGCAATCATATTAGGGAAATATTTATGGTGCTTTAAACTTCTGTAATGCAAAAATCATCCCAGGAGTTGCCCATTGCATTGTCAGTAGAATAAATAAGGTTGTCACAATCAAAAAAATTTTCCTCTTCTGTTTTGTTTGGATAAAACCAAGACCAAGACACACTGTCTTTACGAAGAGAGCACTAGAAAAGTCATTAGCTTTCCTCTCTCCACCCTCAACCTCTATCAACAAAGAACAGTTGAACTCTATTTGCTATAGTCCTCTTTTAGGAAACCTTCTGTTTTCATGTATCTTTATTTTGACAAGTCAAAACTGACAGCATTGAAGTTATTTTCTTCCTAAATCAATTGACCTGCAACTTCACATAAAGAAGCAGTAAAGCAGCTGTGGCACAGGCTGGGTGGAGACCTCTCTGAACGCTGCCTTTGGAGCAGCCACTCTTCAGCTCCCAATTCTGAAACTGCCACACAGAAGAAAAATATACAAACTCCATTTATCTATCAATATGTTCTCTGCAGGAAAAAAATCCAACACTAACAACAACAACAACAAAACCAACCCCAAAACTAGAGTTCTGCGTTATTCTTTGTCATTCACAATACTGTGACATGTGATAAATGCAACACTGAAAAACTACCACTGGAGACCAGTGAAGGGAACGCTAACACTGTTTTTATGATGTATTCTCAGCATGTTGTTTCTCATGTCAGGGATTGAAGGTAGCACTGCAGTTGTTTATAAAGCTTCTGAGCCTTTGATTTGATGGATGTAAGAGTTTAGGAAGGCAACATGCTTTAATTCCATTAATGTGGAGTTTTAATTCAGCCCAGTGAAGTGAAACCAGCTTTTCCTGATGCTGCCAACAGCTAAACTCCTAACTTAAATGAGTTTTTGCACTCCTGTGGGATTAATTAGAAGACCAGAAATTGCTTTTTTTTGGCATTAATTTTATCCCAGCTACAAATGGTTTGATAATATCTGTGTACTGACAGTTACTGACCCATATTAGAAGTGTCAAACTAACCAGACATTCTTCCATCAGAAGCAAATAGGAAACTTCAGGGAATAGGACATTCAACCCTGCTATGTCCAGATCACCCTCAGGTAACAAAGCCAGACATGAGATGTAACGCTGTTTACATGCACAGGCACATGCAGTGAGGATTTTAGCAACATAACTCAATTTTTAAAATGGCATCTGTACATCTATTGTACAAATAGCATTGCTAGGCTAAATAGCTACTCTTGGAAAACAGAAAATTAACAAAATGAAGGATTAGGCTGTCACGGCCTGTAAATATGCAGACTAAGGGCCACACTACATCTCTATTCAGGTTCTCTGAGGTGATTTCACTTGCACAAGTGAAGTAAAAACGGTTGCTAACTTTTTCCTCCCCCCTGCCTGCCTCCCTTCCCTAAAGAAGTGGTTAGCCACATTCTGTGACTTCAAGTATTTGAGTTACTGCAGCCCTAAACTAGCATCATTTAGCAATAAGGAAGAATGCAAGGTGGAGCTGTGATTCAGAGGAATGCTTCAGCTCCTGGAATAAAGCTAATTATCCACCTTTGTTAGCGGTGTGCCTAAGTCAGGTACCTGATCTTCAAAGTGGTGAAACATCCGCTGACTTCAAATCTACTTCCTTATGGCTGAGGTAATTGCAAGAGATAATGATAACCTTTAAAATATAAAAATCCTGCATATTTGAGGGGATTTGTTCTTCCAGCCTGAGATACGGTATTTAAAACAGCAGAAGTGGTTTAGAATGATGTGGGGGAGGGAACTGAAAGTAATTAGGAATGCTGTTTAAAGCAGTTGAGTAGAGAGGGTATCTTTTTAAAGCAGTTCCACATGTGAAGTTACCATATAGGGTAAACAGAGACTTTAAAGTATTGTGAAGAACTCAGCATTGAGTAAATAAGGGATAGTGAGTGAAAACTGTTGGAAAAAACCTAATCCAATCCTAACTGATTAGGTTCCTTGCTCATATCTTCATATTTTGGACAATCTTTTGGGTTTTTAGAAGTGGGGTGCCTAAATCTCTGCAACATTCCAAGATATTCTATTACTGTTAAAAAAAGTAAGCTTAAGTCTTCCTACCAGCCTCAGTTGTAATATTACTGCTGGTATTGCTATCATTATTATTTATGATACTGTAATAATTATGAGGAATTATAAAGCTCCTTCTGGGAACTGAAATACTCCCTGATTAAGTTAGTTTGAAAATTATAC